TTAGACCAGAATAAATTCAAGATGGATCAAAGATTTAGGTATATAAAATTAAGCCAAAAAATATCAGAAGAAACTACTAGAGAGAACTCTTATCACCTCAAAATAAAAATGAAAAAATAAAATTCTGCAAAGCAAAAAGAAAAAAAAATCCAGCCTGGTGGGGTGGCTCATGCCTACAATCCCAGCATTCTGGAAGGCCAAGATGGGAGGACTGCTTGAGCTCAGGAGTTCAAGACCAGCCTGAGGAAGAGCAAGATCCCATCTCTACTAAAAATAGAAAAATTAGCTGGGTATCAGAGCACGGCCTGAAGTCCCAGCTACTTTGGAGGCTGAGGCAGGAGGATCGCTTGAGATCAGGAGTTTGAGGTTGGGCAGTGAGCTATGACGACACCAGTGCCCTCTACACAGGGCAACAGAGTGAGGCTCTGTCTCAAAATACCAAAAAAAAAAAAAAGAAAAGAAAAAAATATTTGCAATGTATATATCTAAGGAAAAAACTAATCTTCATAATATGTAAAGAGTACATTAGTACAAATCAATTAGAAAAATGCTAATATCCAAGATTAGCCAATAACCCCCGAATAGCTGCAGTGACAGTTCACTAAAAAGGAAATATATCTTAAATATATGCGATATGTTCAAACTCACTCATAAGAGAAATGCAAATTAAAATTATACTTATATTCCACATTTCATCTATCAAAGTTGTCTAAAGAAATCTGGACAACACATTATGTGGCCAGAGGGGAAACAGATGATTTCACAAATTACTGGTGGGAGTGTAAATCAATAATTCTCATAAACAGCAACTTAGTAATATTTATAAAATTAGTATTTGACTTAGCTGTTCTATTTCTACATATTTATCCTATAAATACTCAGTGTGTGAAAATAATGTATCATCATCCTATAATAGAAAAAGACTGAAAACAGCCTAACGATGATGAGCCCTGCTGTGATTTAAGCCCAGAGTATATTACATCATAATCCAATTACTTTAAGGTGTTTCACTTGATTGTTCCAGCCACACATTAAATTCTATTTACAACGATAATTTTCATTTCCATTAGCAGAAATTCTTGGATGTCCAGAGAAGTAAAGACAGGGGAGCCTATTTATTGCTTGAAATCCCAAACCAAATAAAAACACATAGTATCTCATTAATAAAAAGTATCATGAGATTTATGCACATTAGTATGTTTTATGTAATGCTGATGCTTCATACAGACGCTTTAAATAAATCCTTTCTATAAATATGAACAAAAAGTTTCCCTATTTTTATACCAGCAATTTTCATGTAAAAGCAACAATATGGTCACATTTTGGGTTCTTTTAGATACCTAAATGGTATCTTCTATTTCTTCCATTAGTTTTACATTAAAAACCTCAGCCTTAATACCCACCCCCATATGCATATACAGCCATCCCTAGGTATCCACAGGGGACTGATTCCAGGATGCTCAAGTCCCTTATATAAAATGGTGTAGTATTTGCATGTAATTTACACACATCCTCCCATATACTTTAAATTATCTCTAGTTTACCTATAATACTTAATACAATGTAAATGCTCTGTAAATGTTATACTGTAATGTTTAGGGAATAATGACAAGGAAAAACGTCTATATTAATACAGGTTCAGTACAGACACAACAATCCATCTTTTTTCCCTGAACATTTTCAATCCAAGGTTTTTGGTTTTCGATCCAAGAATATTTTGAATCCATACGTGCAGAAATCATGGATACAGGAAGCTGACTGTATATACATATATACATGTGAAAAATAAATATGAATGTAAAAAATTCAGAATAACTAGAGAAAGACCCTTATATACACTAGAAATTAGTTGATTACATTTGTTTAAAGTGGTATTTCCTTATCATTACATTTTATTAGGAAGAATATGCTTAATTTTCAAAGGAATATATAAATTATGTGACTTTTACACATTTTCTTAAAATATTCAGTCTCACTTCATATTTTAAAAAGTGTTATCAAGAAAGTACATGATCTTAAGTATATATTACACTTCATATAACCACAATGAAGACAATTTGCTAAGAGTTTCTCCTGTTGACATATTAATCCATATTGAAAATGTTTTATTGCAAAAATATAATCCATTAAAGCAAAATCACATACATCAAGTTCAAAGAAAAAGTCTTGTTCTTTGGATGCAATTTCATAATCTGCTCGTAAAGCCAGGTCATGGACTTTTAGACACTCTCCAAGATCCATTCTCTGGAGGGGGAAGAAGATACATAATATTAAAACAGAAAACACTTTTCAAAAATACATTAACAACCACAGTTCTCTTCAGAACACATATTAAGTCATACAGATGCTGCTTTGTTTATGGACTTTCAAATTACAAAATTTCAAGGACAAGTATAAAACTTGGTGTCAGAAAAATAACAGCACCATTCTGTCTACAACAGATGGGAACAGTGATCACTTTTGTACTTAAGAACAAATGAATATGACAAGCTTTTCGGAATCCTAAAAAACCTTCTAGCTTCTATATCACAACATATTTCACTTTAGCCTCATAACACAGGACAGATAACATTAATTTAAAACCAAACTAAACGTATAAATCAAATTGCTGAACTGTGGTCAATGTTCTTTGAAGAGCATTGTTTTTCAAATAATGACGGAGTCCTCAAAAATCAGACTGGTGACCCTTATATCAGACAACAATCCAACTGAACTAGTAAAGAGATAACTTATTAATAAGACTCCATACAAATTCACAAAGAACAAGTACCTAATCCTACCTAAGACAAGCATATGTCAGGAAAATAAAAACTCTTACTGAACACTAGAAACTTTCTACTTAGAATTTCCAATTAGACATTATTTACCAAACTAGAGGCTTTTCTCATATCTGAGACATAATCCCTAAAAATCCATCCATTGTTACATGTATCTGGGCAACTGATAAAATCTTCCATGAAACCCTTTTGGGGGAAAATTGAGCAAGATACAAAGATAATTACAGATGTGATTAATGGGTGATCGAAGCAGAGATTTTCCAGTTGGAGATATGTGACCAGAATGTCTCAAAATCTCTGAAGGGTTGGTGAAAAGGGAGTACAAATAACTCAGCAAAGTGGCTGGGTACAGTAGCTCATGCCTGTAATCCCAGCATTTTGGGAGGCTGAGGCAAGACGATCACTTGAGGCTACAAACTCAAGACTAGCCAGAGTAAAATACTAAGACCTCGTCTCTAAATTTAAAAAAAATAACAATAATAATTCAAAAAAGTGTAGTAAATATTCCTTTTGGTTTTGTTACAAAAGCTATACACAAAGTAAAAGTACAACAAAACACAGACAGCAGTGAAGTCATTCCTTCAATTAATTACTAAATACCCACTTGTACCAAGCACTACGCTTTACACAGACATAGTCTCTGACTTCACAGAACTTACGTTCTAGAAGAGGGGTAACAAATGATAAAAAGAACGTCTATGAACAAAGTTGGTGACCTAATAAAATAGTAATGTTCCTCATAATCATGGAGGCCACTTGGGAAGAGGTAGTCAAAGAAGACCTTTCTGACAATGATGCATTTACTGGATCTAGAGAATGAGAAGCAAACGAACCTTAGGAAAAGCCAAGAAAAGAGTGTTTCAGTTTCTATGAAAGATTAAGAGGACAGATCTTTAAAAAAAAAAACAAAAACAAAAACAAAAACAAAACTATGCCAGTATTAATCACAGCCAAGTTTCTCTTAACAAGAAACAGGTCTGCAGTATCTATAGCAAACAGGTCTGGGACTTAACTTTGTATACAGTATCTAAAAATGAGGCTGGGTGTGATGGCTCAGATCTATAATCCTAGCACTTTGGGAAGCTAAGGTGGGAGACTGCTTGATTGCAAGGAGTTCTAGACCAGCCTATGCAACACAGTGAGACCCTGTCTCCACAAAAAAAGAGAAAATTAGCCAGTGGTGGTAGTGCACACGCGTAGTCCCAGGAGACTGAGGCAGGAAGATCACTTGAGCCCAGGAGTTTGAGGTTGCAGTGAGTTATGATCACGCCACCGCACTCCAGCCTGGGCAACAGAGCAAGACCCTATCTCAAAAAATAAAAAGTGAAATTAAAAAAAAAAAAGTAAAAATGACTCTGCCTATTTAACTTTCTTGCCAACAACGTGGATAGGATATGTATAAAACAAAGAATATGGTCAATTTTGTACAATTGTACAATTGTACATCCCAAATTAAAAAGCATAGCAAATTCATTGGATCAAGATTCAAAAGGATTAATAGAATTTAAATAAATAAATATGAAGTCATATAGTTAGTTATATATTCAAGGAAACAAATTTACAAATAAGTATGATGAAGCCAGGCACAGTGGCTCATGTCTATAATCCTAGCGTTTTAGAAGGAGAAGCAGAAAAGAATCAATTGCAAAAAGAAAACCCTAAGTCGAGACTGTTGGCTGATAGGCAAATAAAAGAATCAATTGGAAGGAGAAGCAGAAGGATCACTTGAGGCCAGGAGTTCAAGACCAGCCTGAGCAAGAGCAAGACCCTGTCCCTACAAAAAATAGAAAAATTAGCCAGGCGTGGTGGCACACATCTGTAGGCCCAACTTCTTGGGAGGCTGGATCACTTGATCCCAGAAGTTTGAGGTTGCAGTGAGCTGTGATGATGCCACTGCACCCTAGCCTAGGCAACAGAATGAGACCCTGTCTCCAAAAACAATAACCAAAAAAACAAAGTCTGACCAGATAATCAGACAAATTAAAAAACTTAAGTAGTCAAGAGTAAGGATTACAGTATGGCATGACTGATATAAAGCTATATGGTATAAAACGAACTTAAAGAGGACACAGTATGAGCAACATGAGAAATCTCTACTGAAGGCTGGTTTTAAAGCAAATCACTGCCCTCCAAAACACTGTCTATGTGCTAAGACATTTCAAAAAACGGGTATGAATAAAAACCAAGCTATATATACAAAAAAATCAGGGAACAAAAGTAATTAGATGGAGAAGAGAAAAATCAACTAAGATGTGAACCTAGTCATCAATCAACTAAGGAACATTTCATTAAGAAGCAGAAATAGATTTATTATGGCCCCAAGGGACTCAAGTGAGTCAGATTTTAACTCCCCTCAATATAAGAAAATACTTACTAATAATCACAGCTTTCCAAAGTGGAACAAGCTTCCTCAGGGTTAGTGAGCTCCCAGATAACTGAGTAGTTCAAATACAGTTCTGACAACTATTTTTCTAGGAGACTGAGGAAAGAATTCAACCATCGAGTAGTTTTTTTGTTTCTTGGTTTTTTGTTTGTTTTTTTTTTTTTTGAGACAGGGCCTCACTCTGTCACTGGAGTTAGAGTGTAGTGGCCTCATCATAGCTCATGCAGCCTCAAACTCCCAGGCCCAAGTCATCCTCCTGCCTCAGCCTCCCGAGTAGCTGGGACTACAGGCATGCACCACCATGCCCTGCTAGTTCTTTCTATTTCTTGTAGAGATGGGGTCTCTCTCTTGCTCAGGCTGGTATCGAACTCCCGAACTCAAGCAATCCTCCCACCTCGGCCTCCTGAAGTGCTGGGATTACAGGTGTGAGCCACCACGTCCAGCCATAAAAAATATCATAGTAGAGCAAATCAAAGGGTTAATTTATACATTTGAGTGTACTGTCAAGTACACATTAATGACAATATTATGTTAATGACTACATTAGTAACAGAAATTGGCATAGCAACATCTTCAAATAACTAAATACACTAGCTTTGGTATATGCTTATATATTTGCTCAATCCTATGAGACAGATCTTGAACCAAATTACAAAACAATGTGAGAATATATTCCTGCTATCAAGGAATTTATATTCACAATGAAAAAAACAAGACATTAAAGTTACAAATGTACCCAAAGATGTACATACAGGGATTTCAGTACCACATCATACACCAAAAACAGAAACAAAGATTATTAATGTATTAAAACTCACCAGATAAGAAAAACAAAAAACAGCTATCCTAACAAAATATTACGCATTTTTTTTAATGAACACAACTGATAATGGAAACCTCTTCAAGAAAACTGCAAAAGCATTCAAAAAATATAATGCCATTTGTTAACACACACATACGCTTGTGTAAATGCAAATAAAGGATA